AAGAGATTATGGTTTTCTGAATCCCCTAAATTTCCTAAATAAACTACACTGGACATGCAGCAGTTTTTTGCTATCAATATCATAACTTTTTAAAATTTAGTTATGGTTAAAGAAAAAGAAAACCCTCTGTGCTTGCTCACTCATGATCCAATCTCCCTACAACTGTTTGTTATTCTAATTGGTAAGTATGATGAGCTGATGACCAGATCAATGACCTCAGGACCAACCTTATTTCAGTTAACACTCAATCCTAAGGAAAAGAAGGGAAGAAGGATGTGTCAATAGTGAGGACAGGAAGGCTTTTTTCAAACTACAGCTCTCTCCCCCCACCCTCACCCCCAATTCCATCCCATTATTCTTGAGAACAAATTGTAGGTAAGAAAGATCTGAAAGAATAAAAAAATACTGGGAATTAGGGAGATGGAAAGATAAGTGGAAAACAGAGGTAGTCATCTGCCATTGGAAGATAAGAACAAAGCCAGATGACCAGTTTAGTATGGGTTGTAGTTGAACAAATTCTGTAACAACACAGTAACATGAAGGCCCATGGAAGATAGAATCTCTGCGAGGGAAAGGGGGAAAATGGCAACTGCATGAGAAGATAAGGCTTCTATGAACTGCAGATTATCTGTACTTTTCTACATTTATGGACTTTGTCAGTGAATGTATGGTCAACATCTGAAGGGATTCTGTACATAGGTTGAAATGTATAAATTCATAAATTGTGTCATTTTTAATGTATATCAAGTCTTGTCGCTTAGGCTGGTAATGACCCTCATGTTTAACGTAATGTTCCCTTCACTGTTAACTACATTAGTGAATATAAAAGATGGGGGACATTAACTGAGATCTGAACTTTTGAGAATGTTTAATTAAGCCTTGCTTCTAGTATTTAAGGAGATTTACATGTCTTCTATGTGTTCCTTCCTCTATTCTCCTTCTCTGAGTAGGATTCCATGGGCTTTCAACACACATGCATGTACACACACATCTTCCTAAAGTAGAAACTAGGTATGTTCAGCCTGGGAATATATACTGAGAGCTGACTGTGTAGGCCATGGGCTATTGCAATCCTTTTCTTTTTTTTTTTTTTAAACAACTGAAACTTAGGTTTCCAAATGTCTGCTCAACAGGGATGTGAAGTGCTTATTATGTCACAGTTTTATTCCTAACACCTTCACATTAACAAAATTGAGCTGATTTCTAACAAGTTAAATGGGCACTTTTTTGGGAAGGGGGGGAGTGACAATACAATGTCTTCCCAAGCTATAACTTAGGTGATCTTTAAAGACAGCATTGAATTCTTCTGCTTGAGTTATACTGGCTAATAGGAATTTAAATGATAACTAGTGGGAGAGCACTGAAGCATTCATGCATGTGAAATCAGATGAACACCTACAATGTGGAATTTCCTAAGGAAAATTATTCTAGCGGAGAAATACAGGCCCAGGTTGAGTGCCAGTAACTTTTAAACTAACATGTGGAGTTATCATCCTAATGAGTAACAACTAAAGGTGCCTAAAGTAAAGCAAGACCAACATTTTCAAGTCTATATTTTCAAACACATTTAAAAAACACCAGCTTGAACAGAATTATATAAAACTCCCTTCCTCTGCCGAGGGAAATTTAATATTACTTTCTATATTTTGGTTGCATATATTAATGCTTACTCTTGAAAGGCACATGTACAACTTATTTAAGTAAATCTTAAATAAATAAATCTTATTTACTTTAATAAGTCATATTTATTTATCAACAAGATTTATTATTTAATAATCAATATTTTATTTATTAAGATTTAATAACTCTTGGGATGCCTGGGTGGCTCAGTCAGTTAAGCAGCTGCCTTCGGCCCGGGTCATGATCCCAGGGTCCTGGGATCGAGTCCCACATCGGGCTCCTTGCTCAGCAGGGAACCTGCTTCTCCCTCTCTCTCCCTCTGCTTGTGCTCTCTCTGTCAAATAAATAAAATCTTTAAAAAAATAAAGATTTAATAACTCTTATTTACTTAAGTAAATAGCCAAATAGAACAACTAATTCACCTGTGCAAAGAAACTGAAATCAAGAGCTCTGATTTGTATTAGTGATTTTTATTTTTATTCAGTAATTATGATACTAGTCTTTCTGAAGCATTTTATTTTAAATGATCTGCTTAAGACTATTTACTTAAAACTATTCTACTTAAATGAACTTTTTACTTGTCATGCAATTCTAGATTGCAATGTGACTTCAGCTTTTACTCATCAAGGTTAAAGGGACATGTTCCAATACACATCCTGTGTGGAATCAGCTCAATTACCTTTCAAAGTTGCCTAAAATTTGTGAAATATTAATGATTCAAATACATGAATCCTGAATATTTCATACTAGATGTATATCACATCATACAGTATGTAAATAAGTGTACGCCCAACGCTTCTAAAATGTAGAAATAAGGCTGAATCTTTGCTATCACGCTTATTTTACAACAGTTTTTCCCATCGTATAATTTAGAATGATGTTGATAATGATCATGGCCATTGGGTCCTTAGTTTCCTCATTTACAAAATGGTGTTAATGATAATATATGCCTCATGTGGTTTTTGAGAAGAGTAATAGAAGAAGGTTGCCTGATAATAGTAGGTGCTCAATAAATGTTAAGTATTATAATATTGTTATTGTCATTTTTATTATTGCTGTTATTGCTCATCAATTTAAAAAAATTGGACAATTAAGAAAATGTTCTATTGGACACACGGATCATACTCCTTTATCATGTATATTTTTAAATTTAGCCAGAGCTGTGATAAGTTATAGTCATTCCTTAGTGATATTTAAGCTAGACTGCTACAGTATTGTATTAACATCCCTGAAAAAATTCAACAAGGCTCTTCATGGGTGCAAAATGTTATAACTTGAACGGTACTTTCCAGAAAGATGACTCAATATATTTTACACTAGTTAAGAGACAATATTCTGGGCTCCCTGATATAAAAGGATTTAAAAACCCTTGAGCATATGGTTTGTACAGCTTTTGTTACCATAGCCTGTCTTTATTGGGGCACCTGTTTATCTATTTTCAACTGATGTGTCACATAAAAGAAAAAAAAAGACAAGTTGCAGTCAAATTCTAGAGAGAATATGGTTTTAGTAGAGAGATGTGGTTTTAGTCATTCTGTCTTACTTTGAAAATATTCTCCTGCAGTAAGGAATAAACTGTGGGTTTATGACTGGAGATCAGTTTAAGGTTCTGTATCTCATGATTAGGATTCATGTTCATTTGTTCGTTTTCTTTTAAGTCATAATCAATGTCCGATATGCTAGTTTCACTGCTCAGAAGATGAATAACTTTGTGAATTTAGGGCAGTTTCTGTTACAAGCAGTTACTTTCCATTCTGAACAGTGGCAAAAAAAATAAATAAATAAAAAGCTATTTTTCCTGAATGGCTTTTAAAATGATTTCTCTTTGGAAATGTCTTTGAAAATGACCAGATTGGAAGTTTTAGCCATTTGGTTATAATAACACTGATGAGTAACAGATTGAGCAGGGTTGAACAGGTACTTAAAAGTCCACTTTGGGAACAAAAAAAAAATCTCAGTTCTATCTTGATTATGTACTTGTGTTGCACACCATGACAACTCACCAACTTAGGTTGGTTCTATGCACTTGAAAAAGAGGCTTAAAAATTACTTAAACCTTTGTGAAACACCACACAACACAATCTTGCCTTCAGTTGTATCCGTTTCTCCCATATCAGAATAATATTCCATTCCTTATTCAAATCAAGACAATGAAGAAAACTACAGAATGTGTACATAGTTAGCAGTTTGAAGGATTCTGGCCCATCTCTCACTTTCAGTACATTCTTTTTCTCTTCTCCCTTTATTTACCTTTCCCTTTATACCACTATTTGAGCTCCTGCCACACATGAAAAAACAAAAACAAAAACATAAACCCTGTAAAATATTATTATTGGGTCCTAATCAAATTAATTTTTCCATTTGGAGGGAAACAGTCCACTCAGCCTGAAATAAAATTTAAGAGAGCACCTGAATGGCATCCAGGGTCTAACTGGTGAAATGTGAAAGATCCAAAGCCCTTTGGTGTGTATAATAACATTATTAGCACATTAAGTTTAATCACAAGGGGTTAAACAAATTTATCAATACAAATACATTTTCATGCATTTATTTCAAACTAGTGCTTACTGAAAATGGCAAACACTTAGCTGGTGTTTCAAACACGGAGACCCTTACTGATACCTATAAATATTTTATAGACGAGGAATGTGAAATTTTAAACAAGGTTGACTATTTTTCATTGCTCATGCTGAACCACCTTTGCATGGTAGGCTCCTTGTGAAAGACATTCATTCATAGATTTCATTGATTCACTCACTCATACATCAAACATTTTATTTTATGCCAGGCATGATAGAATACATGAATGGAAGACAATGGTCCTTTGCCTTAGAAAAAGAGAGCTCAGATTGTCTCTCCTACCTACTCAGTAGCGTTCAGTATCTTTAGTCCACAGCAGTATCATGAATTAAGGCGACAACAGCTCATACCACAAATGATTAAAAAAAAAAAATCTGGACTCTGAGATAGTCATCGTCTTTCACTTGATTAGAGGTAGATATCCTCAAATTATACATTTTATTGAGGGATACAAGTTAGGATAAAACAAAGCAGCAAAAAATCTGTTATTCAGAAATCAAATAGGATCCTAGCTTTCCCTTTCTCGTCAAAATGGGAATGAGATAGGGCTTGTCCGTGAGGGGTCAGGGAACCACTTTGGAATTCTCTACCTTCTAACTGCCCGTATAAAGTGATTTCTTGGCTACTTATTAGGGTTATCTATAATCAACCTTCCTTGTTCCTCAGGTGGGAAGGAAGAAAAGAAGCCCCGGTTTCCCCCCAAGTTACTTGAGCTTTCCCCTGAAGGCCTGCCCCCTTCCGTCCCACCCAGCCAGGAAAGGTAAAATGTTGGAATTGAGCACACTTGAACCTCCTCCTACCTACGCAGTCTGGGCTCAGTCCAGCGGGGGCGGGGCGAAGCTCTGGACTCCTCCCAGCGGCTTCATCTGCACACGCCCGGGTCCAAACGTCCCAATCTGAGGCCACGCCAGTGTGTGCGCTCGCGAAGGCGCGCAGGTTTGAAACGTCACATTCCACGAGACTCCGCCCCGCCCCTCCGCGAGCGGCCCCACCCACCAGCTGTGTCAGCCGCAGGGTTCTCCCTGACTTTTCTGTACAGGGAACGATTTGTATTTTTGTTTTCGGATTCTAAAAGTAATATGATACTTAAATATAATTTGGAAAATTCAAAAATATGCACATAAAATAAAAATTACCTGTATTCTAAAGAGAAACACTAAGAACATTTATTGTATATCTTTGTGGTCTTTTTACTATGAATAGATAAAAATTAAATAGATCGTGCTGGTTCTCGGCCTCTAACACATAAATACGCAGATATGATATGCATAAATTTTATAAAGTTTTGTATATCTTTTCTTTTTTTATAGAACAATATTTTTACTCTAAATTATACATATGTAGGATTTCAAAACCCTGTGTGTATACATTAAGGAGAACAACCACGTATCTTTTTACACATTTTAGGAAGAATGTTAAAACATTTGAAGAAACCTATATACCCCAAAGGATTGCATCGTTCTTCAACCCAGTTTTGCATTGTATGACAAATATTCCCTTGCTTTTCCTTATAGTTTAAAAAATCATATATGTATCATTTTCATTGAAATATGGTACACGGGTACACGTACAGAAAAATGAATTGGGGCGCCTGGATGGCTCAGTTGTTTAAGCGGCTGCCTTCAGCTCAGGTCATGATCTCAGGGTCCTGGGGTCGAGACCCGCATCGGGCTCCCTGCTCGTTGGGAAGCCTGCTTCTCCCTCTGACCCTACCCCTGCTTGTGTTCCTTCTCTCGCTGTCTCTCTCTCTCTGTCAATTAAATAAATAAATAAAATCTTTAAAACAAGAAAAATGAATTATACTGCAAATGTGTTCAATGAATTATCACAAAGTGAACGCAGAGGGTAACCACCACCCAAATAAAAGAAGTAAAACATTCCTATTCCTAGCACACCAGAAGCCCCTCCTAATCATTACCCTTTTTTTTTTTTTTTACTCCCTAAAGGTAATGACTGTCCTGGCTTTTAACACAGTGGTTTAGTTTTGCCTCTTTTTGAGCTTTATAAAAATAGTCCAGTCATGGTTTTACTGTTCTATACTGACATTGACTATAGCTATCTTTTACAAAGTACACTCAATATGATGACTTAAATTGGAAGTCTACTCTGTCTTCCTCACCTAACACTAAATAGCATTCATTTTCCACACCATTTAGCATTCTGCTAAAAAGTTAGTTTCTGCATATTCTACTGAATGGATATACCATAATTTCATTTTATTAGAGGTACAGGTGTGGTTTTTTTTTTTTTTTTGCCAATTTTTCCCAAGCAAATATGTATCCTCATGCACATCTTTAGATGTATATTTCAGGGTTCTTTCTTTCTTTTTTAAAGATTTTATTTGTGTATCTGACAGAGGGAGACACAGCGAGAGAGGGAACACAAGCAGGGGGAGTGGTAGAGGAAGAAGCAGGCTTCCTGCTGAGCAGGGAGCCTGATGCAGGGCTCGATCCCATGACCCTGAGATCATGACCAGAGCCGAAGGCAGACGCTTAACGACTGAGCCAACCAGGTGCCCCTCAGGGTTATTTCCTTAGAATTATTTTTATAGGTGGAATTTCTAAGTCAAAGAGCATTTAACTTTTTAAGATCTAATGTCTTGCTGTCATGTTGATTTACTAAAAGAACGATGGCAATTTATAGTCCTGCTAGTGCTGTGTGATGGTATATCGTTTCAACTTCCCAAAAATCAATTTTTTTCATCTTTGTTAATTTGGTAGGTAAGATACATTTTCCCATTGATGTTTATATTTATAATTCCTTGATTACCAGTGAAATTGATTACACATGTCTATTATTAATTTATATTTCTCTTATTATGATTTGTTTATACATGTTTTTCCCCAGTTTTTCTAAGTTTTGATTTGGTTTCTCCATGAGTGGGCAGCTGCTCTGCTTGAGTCCCTTAGGTTAACATAAATTAATGGTGGTCCTTAAGTCAATAATTGGGCTAAATCTCAAGGCTCTCATAGGAATTCCTTCAAAGTGTTTTAGTATCTGTTGAATCCCCCACCCCTTCCCATAGATGGCAGGATAGTATTGGCTGGTTTCAATTTCATTAGCTCACTGCAGTACCTAAGTGAGGTAGGGCAGGTTTGTCTATCCTCATACACAGCTGAGGAAAATTTCTTGTTCCATAAATGACTTGGGCAGATTGCTGAATGGGGATTTGAACCTGTGTCTTCCCATTTAGATCTCTACATTTAATAATCTTGAGCTAAAAGTCTTCCCTCTGTCATCACAGATCAAACAGTTCAGATTTTGTTAGGTATGGAGTCTATGTATTTCAGATTTGGAAAGAGTTTGCAAAACCAGACAAAAGAGTAAGTAATTGCTAAAGAATGCAAAGCACATGAGATTGACTCATATTCCTTGAATAATTATAGGAAAATGAGCCCCCAAAGAGATGATGCCACCATACATGACCATGCAAGTTCTACATGGCACAACTCCAGAGAGGGCATCATCCACATCCATTATGAATGGTATGAATGGCACCCTCTGGAATTGTGCAGTGCCACACCTGCATAATTCTAGGCAACAACTTCTCAATATTTATTTAACTTTTATAATCACGAGTGATTTTCAAGCACAGGTCAGTGTAAACTAAAAATAGAATAAGTGATATTGGATTAGAAACCTCTTCCAGAACTTTGTTTTTAGTTGTCAAAACAATTGATACAAAAATCTGATGCACCAAGGGTCATTGGTCCAGAAAACATTAAATAATATTAAGGACAAAAAATTTAAGGCAATGCTGTCCCTGTAGAAATATGGTTAAAACACTCTCTGTTGGTGTGTATAAAGACCTCTCATGTGCCAAAAGAAAGTAGGACATTTTCTTACAAATACTGGGCAAATGCAATACAAATTCTCTAACACCAGTTACCTGGTGAGCCAGTGAATAGAAAAGTACTCGTATGGATTAGAAAGAGACCATGCAGTTAGCGATGAGAATTTTATAGTAGAAGGCAATTTAGAGACCATCTTGTCTTGCAGTTACCAGTTGTGGTTACTTGTTCAGTCATTCAGCATGAAGTTAGGAGGAATGATTACTAGAGATTAAAGATGGCCCTAAATGAAACTAGTGCCTGAGGCTTTCTTGAGTTGCTGAAGATAGGAGTCAGGATAATCCAGACATTTTAGTGTTTTGTTTTCAGTTAATCTGCTTTTCCCTCACTCCACCTGAACTGTTAAATATATTACATAATTTAATATTTCATAAACCTCAGTCAATAAGCATTAGGATTTTGTTTTCAGGGGAGCAGTGTATCATGGTCCTGGAAAGAATACTGGATTCAGAACTAAAAGATGGGACTTAAGTACTTCCATATAGGCTTTAAATTTGTAGCATTTAGGCTTTGAATTGATTACTAATTTTTCTCCTCTAAAACTGTGTGTGTAAATGCATATATATATATATATACATACACACACACACATATATATATGTATATATATATATGTATTTTAGAAAAAGAAACATCAAAAAAGACTGGGTGGCTCAGTCGGTTAAACGTCTGCCTTCAGCTCAGGTCATGATCCCAGGGTCCTGGATTGAGCCCCGAGTCAGACTCCCTGCTCTGTGAGGCGTCCTTTTCTCCCTCTGCCCCTCCCCCTGGTCGTGCTCTCTCTCTCTCTCTCTTTCAACTAAATAAATAAAATCTTTTTTATAAAAAGCCTTTCACATTAGCTCAAAACAGAAAACACACACACAAAACTATACCATACATTTCTTTCTCTTTTTTTTTCAAGCTTTTATTTAAATTCCAGTTCGTTAATGTACAGTATAATATTAGGTTCAGGTGCACAATACAGGGATTCAACACTTCCATACGTTACTCAGTGCTCATCACAACAAGTGCACTCCTTATCCCCACCACCTATTTAATCCATCCCCCCATCCACCTCCCTTCTGGTAACCATCAGTTTGTTGTCTATAGTTAAGAGTCTGTTTCTTGGTTTGCCTACCTCTCTCTCTCTTTTTTCCCTTTGCTCATTTAGTTTCTTAAATTCCACAGATGAGTGAAATCATATGGTATTTGTCTTTCTTTGACTGATGTCACTTTGCCTAATACTCTCTAGCTTCATCCACGTCATTGCAAATGGCAAGATTTCATTCTTTTATGGCTGATATTACTATATATATACATATATGTATACATGTATATATATGTATACCACTTCTCTATCCATTCATCAGTAGATGGATACTTGGGCTGTTTCCATAATTTGGGTATTGCAGATAATGCTTCTATAAACATCAGGGTGCATGTATCCCTTTGAATTAGTATTTTTGTATTCTTTGGGTAAATACCTAGTAGTGCAATTGCTGGATCTTAGGGTAGTTCCATTTTTAACTTTTTGAGGAACCTCCATAATGTTTTCCACAGTAGCTGCACCAGCTTGCATTCCCACCAACAGTGCAAGAGGGTTCTGCTTTCTCCACGGCCTCTCCAACACCTATTGTTTCTTGTGTTGTTGATTTCAGCCATTCTGACAGGTGTGAGGTGATATCTCATTGTAGTTTTGATTTGCACTTCCCTGATGATGAATGATGTTGAGCATCTTTTCGTGTGTCTATTGGCCATCTGGATGTCTTCTTTGGAGAAATGTCTGTTCATAACTTCTGCTCATTTTTAAGTTGGATTATTAATTTTTTGGGTGTTGAGTTTTATAAGTTCTTCATATATTTTGGATACTAACCCTTTATCAGATATGTCTTCTCCCATTTCGTGGATTGCCTTTTAGTTTTGTTGATTGTTTCCTTCACTGTGCAGAAGCTTTTCAATTTGATATATTCCCAATAGTTCATTTTTGCTTTTGTTTCCCTTGCCTCAGGTGATGTATCTAAAAAGAAGTTTCTATGGCTAATGTCAAAGAAGTCACTGCCTGTGTTC